CGCCCTTCCTCGTCGCCGCCCAGCCTGCCAGGCCTTTTGCGAACATGGCGCTTGTCCCGTGCCAGGTGCTGCGGGTGGCGATCCTGCTGTCCTACTGTTCTATCCTGTGCAACTACAAGGCCATCGAAATGCCCTCGCATCAGACCTACGGCGGGAGCTGGAAATTCCTGACGTTCATTGATCTGGTAAGGCCTTCCGCTCCCCTCCCCCGTCCGCCCTGCACCCCGAGTCCGTGTGTGTGTGCGTGCGTGGGTGCGCCGGCACCTGCGCGCGCCTCCAGCCGCCACCCGTGTCCTCGCCTCTCCCCCAGTGATTGCGTCTAAAGGCCTGGCTGCCCCCCGCAGCAGCACCTCTGAACCACCCGTTACCTGGTAGCTGGGGCACGAATGGAGGTGGGCACAGCCAGGTGGTGGGGCTGTTTGGAGGGGAACCCAGACCAGCTTCTAAGAGGTGACACGGAAAGAGTCTCAACAAATGGATCAGACGACCTTGGTCATGAGTGGCCTCAGACCCATTCGCCCTCAGCGTGCTTCCCAGAGCACCCACCGTGGGATCAAGTTGCAGCAACAGAAGGAAACCTGGGTATTGTTGAATTACTTGGAGCTTCCTCAGAGAGAACCAAAATCCTCATGAAGAAGAGAAAGCGCCTAATAAAGTTGTCTTCTTTGCATCTGGTTTCTTACCCATTGTCAGTAATTTACTTCTAATCTTTCTCCCAGAAACATTAGGAGAGAGGCTTTCAAAATGCATTACCAGTAGGACTTTACACTCCTTATCTTTCCCCCTAAAGTCTGCAGTGGTTTGCATAAACAGTTCTGGTGACACAACAGCATAACCTTGGCAGCTGCACTTGGTTTTGGTTGGTTTTTTTTTTTTGGTTGTTTTTATTTTTTTGAAATAAAGCTTATCCACTTCTGGCACTGAAAAGGCCAGAGCATCAGAACATGAGCATAAGGCCCAATAATGACACGGGGTGAAATCTAGGAGTTTAGGGGTGAAAGGTGACTAATTTAGACGGTGTGGTTACACTAAACAATGACCAAATATGGGTAGAGGGTTAGAACAAATCAAGGAGTTCCAAAGACTAGAGAAAATGTAGAAGCAATTCCTAGGATGCCGGAACTGCCCATCCAAGATTATATATGAGATTGGCTGCACAAGCAAGATTATAATCTTTAATTGTTGACCCTCCGCGTTGATGGAGAGAATGTGATACGTGTTCTAAGATATTTCCAAAGGCTTAGGATCCCTCAAAGAAATGCAGTTGAGGGCTTTTTGTTTGGAAATACCATTTTATATTTGTTTCACTTTCCAAAAAGAATTTAAGTATCTTTTCGCAGCAGTTTCCAAACTATGCACATGCCCTTGGGCAACAAGACTTCTCAGGGCATAGAGTGTTTCAACGGTTTCAGTTTTCAGATCCTCAACTTCCATCGTTTTCTTGAAACTGATCTGCCTCTGAGCATGGATAATGTCTGCTTGTTCTTCTTTCTTCTCATTCATGCAAGAGATGAGCACATGACAAGGCTCTGTGCTGTATTTCTCGGTTCCTTTTAGCATTCTGAATATGGATTGTCACCAAGACTCTCTTCACATTTGATTGAAAAACGAAGTGAGACTTGTTTGGACAGAAAGTTTTATTGGGTTGATTGGCTTGTCAATGAGGATTGGCTATGCCAATTATGTTATAGAGCAGACATTTTCCGTAGATTGAATGAGTGAAATCTGCAGCCCTGAGGTTCTGATAAATATGTATCAGAGCATTCAAAATCATGTTCCTTTTTCAAGTGTTTAAACTTACGTTAAAAATGTTTAGATGTTATTTAAAAATATGTGCATAGATTTTCGGAATTCTTTTAGGGGCTGCGTGAATAAAATTCCTCTTGGATCACTACCTTATCGCATTCCTTAATCAGATCACACTAAGAGCTGGCCCACTCGTGTGTTGCCAGGGAGCGGTGATGAGTTGAAATACTGATGGAGACCCTACCAGGGCCATGGAAACTATGAACAGTTCTCAGAAGTACCTTTGCATTAAGAACAGTTTGGGGAGGTAAGGAAGGGGGTCAGCAGGTGAGGGGGGTAAAATTTGAGAGTATCAGCCCGTGAGAGAGGACACCTTCTCATGTTGGCATTGCTTACGTGTGTTACAAAATAAGGCTCTCAGGAAACAGTATACCTCTCACAACCTTTCTGTGACATGATACCAGAGTAGAGCCAATTTGGCTGTACTTGAACTGCCCTGCAATTTATACTTAAGAGTTTGATGATTGGACATGCCTGTTTTCAATATATAATCACCACAAACATACTCTTACCTACTAGAATTCTGGCAATGAATTCAAATTTGATTCTGTTTGTTTCATATTTAGATTCAGTTTGTATAGTGCCTTCAAGCCAGTTGTTCAGACTTTTTACTTTCTGTGACTTCTGATTGAGATAGAATAATTATCTTTAATCAAGAGTTCCTGGGGCGCCTGGGTGGCGCAGTCCATTAAGCGTCCGACTTCAGCTCTGGTCATGATCTCACGGTTTGTGAGTTCGAGCTCTGACAGCACAGAGCCTGGAGCCTGCTTTGGATTCTGTGTCTCCCTCTCTCTCTGTGCCCCTCCCCCACTCTCTCTCTCTTTCTCTCTCTCTCTCTCTCTCTCTCTCTCTCAAAAATAAAGATAAAAAAAATTAAAAAAAAAAAAGAGTTCCTGTGAGGAAGTATGTCTAGAATATATTCATAAAAACATTGATGCAAAGTATAATTTTTTTAATTATTGGAGACTTAGTGTCTTCAGAGTTTAAGCACGGTACGCTGTTGAAACAGACAAACTGTCAGTCCTTAGTAATGGCATGAAGAGATCAGGCTACTCTAATTTACCCATTTGACTTTTCATTTTTTTGCATGTTTAAAACAAACTATAGGGGCACCTGGGTGGCTCAGTTGGTTGAGCATCCGACTTCAGCCCAGGTCACGATCCCATGCTTCGTGGGTTTGAGCCCCATGTTGGGCTCTGTGCTGATGGCTCAGAGCCTGGAGCCTGCTTCAGATTCTATATCTTCCTCTCTCTCTGCCCCTCCCCCACTCTGTCTCTCTGTCTCTCAAAAATAAATAACCATTAAAAAAAATTTTTTTTAAAACAAACTATAAACTTTATTACTCTAGGGCCTTGGACAATTTTAATGACTCTAAACTCATTAGAGCAATTTTGGAGGCGGGATTCGCTTCTAAAACTTTAACGAGAAGGCCCTTTTTCTAACCAACTTGGATTGCAGAGCCAGGATGTTATCCTGGTGGCCACAGTCTGATTCTATGTTCCACAGCATCAGTTTACTAGAATGTAAGTCAGGAAGAACTCTCAGGCTGCATGTATCTGGAAGCAGATAACCGGTTATGTGGTATTGGCCATTCCAGCTATATCCCTATCTTCCTTTGAGTGTTAGAGTCATCCCAGTAGAATCAGAGCTATGCTTCAAAAAAAGCACAAGTTACTGCTATCGGTAATCCTACAGTGTTCTTCCCCAAGAACTTCTTTTCCTAGTGTTGAAAAACTATAAGAGAACCAGAGTGTTTCAGAAATTCAAGTCAGTAAATAGAAATGGAATACTGGCTTGGTGTGGCAGGCAGACTAATGAGTCCTCTGTGATGTCCACATCTGCATCCCTAGAACCCATGGGTATGTTCGGTTACCCGGCAAAGGGAAATTAAGGTTGCTAGTTGGCTGACATCAAAATAGGGAGGCTATCCCAGATTATCCATGTGATCCAGTGTAATCACAAACGTTCTTAAAATGGAAGGAGGCAGAAGGGAAGAATCAGTTGGAAGAAGATGTGTCTGTGGAAGAAAGTCACAGAGAGACGCAACACTGCTGGGTTGGAAGGTGGAGGAAGGGGCCAAGAGCCAAGAAATGTGGGAGGTGTCTAGAAGCTGAAGACAGCAAGGAAATAAATTCTTCTCTAGAGCCTTGAGAAGAAACACAGTCCTGCTGACACCTTGATTTTTAGTCCAGTGAGACCCACTTTTGGACTTCTGACCTCCAGAACTATAAAATAATAAATTTGTGCTGTTCATGTCACTAAAATTATGGTAATTTGTTACAGCAGCAATAGAAAACTAGTACACTTGGCTTTAAATCCTCTGACCCAGAAAAAAACTTAAATGCTATTGTACTTATACAGTGACTCAACTAGTTCTTTATGTGTATTAGGTAACTGGTTAATTTTAGCTTTAACCAAAATACAGATTTTTGCTACTGCATCTGATATGAAACTAACAACAGGCACTATGAGAGTCTATAAAAACTGAACAAGATTGGAAAAACTAGGTCTTTTCTTCTCTGTGACATTATGCAACATCTCATGCCAGGAGCACGAACACTCTCTGAACTGGAAATGAGCTAGAAAGAAAGAAAATTGAAATGAACCAATGTTGAAGTATTTCCTTAACCAGCATCACAGCTGATTAATTTTCTTGAAATCATGCAGATTCATTCACTTACTGGAGGATTAAAGGATAATTCTCCAAGTTCTACAGGAATTGCTCCCAAAGATGGTAAAAATGAAGAATTAGAATACAACCAGAATAAATAAATTAAAAGAAAAAGGCAATTGTATGTTGAGGCTTCAAAGTAGTGGTGGAGTATAATAAACATTTGTAAACGTAAACATTTGAATAAATGGAAACTTTCCAAATATCCAATGAGTTTTCCTGTCCTATTTCCTCCTAGAACATTGAGAGTAATAGGGATTTTTGAAACATATCAACCAAAATTTTATTCAGATGTATATGGTAGAATGTATAACACACGAGTCAGAATCAACTTCTTTGAAAAACATGAACTGGACATTTGTTATATAAAAAATTAATACTGATCTTGAATATGTGACATTTTGATTAAAAAAATTTTTTTAATGTTTATTTTCGAGACACAGAGAGATAGAGTGCAAGGGGTGGAGGGTCAGAGAGAGGGGGAGACACAGAATCCAAAGCAGGCTCCAGGCTCTGAGCTGTCAGCACAGAACCTGACTTGGGGCTCACACTTACGAACCGCGAGGTCATGACCTGAGCCCAAGTCGGTCGCTCAACTGACTGAGCCACCCAGGTGGCCCGAGACATTTTGATTTTTAAAGACTGACACAGAAATAGGCTATTCCATTTGCTCTGATTTGTACTGTTCACCATTTTGAGGGTTCTAGT